GAAAGAATCCGACGACTGCAAGATACCGGAAAATGTCTGCTCATCGCAGTTCCAAGAAACGCAACGCCACCGCGTACCTCGGGCTGAACATCTTTATGCCAGACGTCGATTAAATACACGGAAATCATGTTTGAAACTGCCTACGACACATTCACGACGTTTCGGGAGTTGGCCTCGCTGTCACTTTTTTTTAATTGAAGGTTTCTTTATGTCAACGAGAAATGTAACTCATAATTCCGTCTGTCCGTTCTCGAGGTTTATTAGAAAGAACGAATGGAGGCCGAACTTAAGCTTAAGAGCGCTTCATCGTCTCCGTAACATTTCAGAGCTGCGTGCGAGACGGGAATAAATAAATAAAATATCAAATGAATTTCTGTAGTAATCAATCACTACCGATAAATGCGCTGAAATGTCCACGCCGATCGCGAACGATTACATAAGCGAATCTTCGCTTCGTGAAAAACTTCGGGAAGTTTTCACGACGTGGTCATTTGTAAAATGCGATAATATTCGTTGACTGTAAATGCCAGCGCAGAATTAAGAACCACCAAGTGACATTATGCGAAGTGAAATTCAACTCCCTACACACGACAGTGACTGGTACAATATTAAAAGGGTCACGTGTCCTAGAACATAGGTACGATGGTACCGCAGACCATCGCTGATGTCTCTGCGAGGGCAGTCATCCACAGCTGTGAAATGTTTGTAAGGACCTCGTCTTCAGCGCCAGATATGGACAGAAACGGTTTGAACCTCCTCTCCCACAGGACGCAGAAATTATTTCAAGTTCTGCCCTGAAACTACGAGAACAGGCGTAAGACGCAAATTCTCAACAAGTCTTTCGTCAAAACAAATTACGTCATTAACCGGAACACTGAGGCGTTCTTGGAGCTACTGCCGTCGGTAATGCACTACGACTGTATTACCGATGCATCTTCGTAGTCTTCCTCAGTTACCAAAGCCTCAAAGCGGCGTCTTCCTGCCTCACTACTAAAGTCTGCAGCTGAAACAGCGTCGTTAAATGTTCCCGACGGCAGAGCGCGCTACTTACAGTGTTTGCTGTCCGCACACTTGTACACGGTTCGGTAGAACGTCTTGTAGACCGTCTGGTACTCGGGCTGGTTGCGAACACAGGCCTTCCAGCCCCGGGGCTCGCAGTTGGTGTCGGCGCGCCTGTTGATCAGTCGCCTGAAGCCCCTCGTGTACGGCTCCTGGTACGGCCGATACTCGCACTTCCTGTGAACGAAGACAAAAGACTCTCGCGTTTCCTGTTCTTCTGCGGTCTGGTCGAAGTGGAGGGCTCTAGGGTGGAAGGCAAGGCGGCGCTGAACCTGGAAAAGCTGCTCCGATTGTAATTCATTCGATTCGATTCGATTTCATTACCCCGGAAACTTTCAGCAAGAATCTGCCGCAAGTTAACCGGAAGCCTTCCTCTTTGATCGCGATTAGGCAGCAAGGTGGAACGAATCAGGACTTCATGTAACATTTTTTGAATAACCCTAACCCAATTACGAAAACCGACTCTTTAATTAAGAAAGAGACGAGAAGGTTAATCGACGCACCTCTTTTCACATCTGGTTCCAGAGGTGCCCGGTTCGCAGAGACATCTGTTGCCGGAACTGCAAGTCGCGCCGTTTTCACACGGCGGGTCGCACACTGGATCGGCGCAAGTGGGGCCGGTTGCGTTGCGTGGACACTCGCACTGGTCGGGACCCACGCACGTCCCACCGTTCAGGCACGCGGACCGGCAGGAAACTGCGGACACACGCGGCAAACGCCATCTCGTCTCAATGACATTTAAGAATTCGGTCCGTACCGAAAAGAAAACACTACACCTAACCATTACTAAGATCAACTGGTTAACCTTGTTTAAGGAAATAATACGACTAAAACGCTAATTAACCTTTGGAGCCGAAGCTCTTTCAAATGAAACTTAAGATTTCAGTCCGTACCGCGAAGAAAACACTACACTTCACCATTGCAAAGATCAACTGGTTAACCTTGTTTAAGGAAATAATACGACTAAAACGCTAATTAACCTTTGGAGCCGAAGCTCTTTCAAATGAAACTTAAGAATTCAGTCCGTACCGCGAAGAAAACACAACACTTCACCATTACAAAGATCAACTGGTTAACCTTGTTTAAGGAAATAATACGACTAAAACGCTAATTAACCTTTGGAGCCGAAGCTCTTTCAAATGAAACTTAAGAATTCAGTCCGTACCGCGAAGAAAACACTACACTACACCATTACAAAGATCGACTGGTTAACGCTGTTTACAGTCAGAATCATACGAAACTGTTAAAGCAGCTGGTACATATAGTTACCAGTACGCTTCAAAGGGTTAAATATCACGGAAATAATTTAATTAGTTTCAGAAATGAGATACGGATGGAGGGTCATGACGTCTCCTCATGTACCTTACCGCGAGGTTTAACAGCGACTTTACTGAGAGACTCACAGTTCTGGCAGAAGGAGCCGCTGGTCGCAGGAGGGCAGTTGCAGGCGCGGGGCTTCACGCAGTGGCCCCCGTACCTGCAAGGCGGATAGCAGACGGCTGAAACCAGAACAAGGCGATCTGTCCATTGGGAAACACGTGGCAAGCGCACGTACGCACACACACACACACACACACACACAGAGGCGTTTTGCCTCGGACGACACCGAGTGTCCGCATTTCTGAATTCTCAGGAACACCTGTTACGCCGTCCCCTAGACAGTTCGACATGGACCCTCCTAAACCAACCCGAGAATAACTCGAAATTTGATTTTGAGCCATAAAAGAATCTTCCTCGTACAAAAACACAACTGCGTCGTCTCTCACGTGCGGTTTTCCTAGGAAAAGAAGTTAGGCCGCTCTTGATCCAACGAGAAGTACATTTTCTCCCCCCCCCCCCCCCGACGGGGCGATCGCCCGAAATATTCGAGCAAGGCTCCCCACTGCCGTACAAACACTGACAGTCCTAAAGAACGGCGTCTCTGCAGTTCCATTGTTTCTCTCCGGGCGCCAAGATTAAAGAAAGTTAATTAACGTAAGTACCGGCCTGAGAAGCGACTTTTGCATTAACGCTAATTAAAAGGACGAAACACAGTCAGAATTAACCTATTAATGTAATCAGTGCGCTAAGAACAAGAAGGCGAAAAGGTTAAATGCAAATTACACGCGTCTTCCGCCCCAGCGAGCCCAAGGTGTTTCTCCCAGCCCCGTGTGAGGAGCCGGACGTACACTGGAACAGTCCTCGAGGGCGGTCCGCTGGAGCACGGCACAGCCACAAACCGTGGTCTCGTAAGCGGCTACAGACCTTTCGGACGAACATATCGCCTCCATCTTCAGGTGTCACGACACGGAATACAGCAATTCAAATTTTCACCGTCTTGTCTTCTCCGCATTGCGAACGGAAAGTTCCTTCGCTCTTTTTCGCTCGTTTTCTCACGTTCTGATTTGTCCTAAATCGGAAGATGAGGAAGGACTCGATCTCGTAATGAGCCCAGCATCCCGCCTGTATCATGTGGGGTAAGCCGCTTATGAGAACACCCGTTTCATCTACAAAATAATCATTAAAGTACTTTCGTAATGCCAAGTTTAATTTAAATTGCGACTGAACTGAGATAAGAAGTAGACTTACCAGCCTATGACAACGATCATCAGAGCAGTAGACCCGTCCCATGTAACGGGCGCAGCTAGACACACAACGCACGCACGCGCGCGCGCGAGCGTACAGACAGAAACAAGTACAGAGGTACTTACGAGAACATCGCGGCTTCAGAAAACCGGACCGGCAAGTGCACACCCCGGGACGCGCACAGACGCCGCCACTCAGGCATGGCGGCTCGCACACCGCTGTGGGGAGACAACACAACGAGTTGAGGGCGATCTCTGTCCCAACACAAGCAGGTTAATGCAGCGGGTTCGAACATCAAACACGCACTTGCTGAAAAAGCTGGCAGTCACTCACCTGGCTCATCGCCTTTTAGCACACAAAACCCACCTTGATGAAGGCGGTTCGCCTGCGGCCCGGTTTCCGACCAACATTTCCGTAAGCACTTCTCACTTCTGACTTACGGTTCTGGCAGCGGGGGCCGCTGTAGTGAGGGGGGCAGACGCACCGGTCGGGGTCGCGGCAGTAGCCCCCGTTCTCGCAGCCCGGCTTGCAGGACACGCGCTCGCATCGGCGACCGGAGAAGCCGGGCAGGCAGTGGCACGCGCGTCGCTTCAGGTGGCAGAGTCCCCCGTGCAGACAGGAGCAGGGCTTCCGGGACCCTGGACAGCAACATGGACAACGCTGACCGAGAGGCAGACATGTCAGGGGTTGGTCTCGACTGACGGAGATACGTAACTGCGTCGCAGTCGGGACTAACGAGGGTTAGGAATCCTAATCCGCTGTTAAGTGATCTCTTAGTCGCAAAGTAACGAACGAATTACTTCACCTCTTAATTTAAAGCTCTCGTTTGAACGACCCAGGAACCTAGTCTCGACTCACCCTGCAACAGATCGGCTGAGGCGCTGACCGCCGCGTACGTCGGTCTAATGTTTCTGTTCTCGGGCGCTCTTAAGATTTTTAATCCACTTTTAAACTTCGACCCACAGACGTCGCAAACATTTGGTGGCATCGGCCTCAGGGGAAAGAACAACTTCTTCCAAGCTTGCTGAGATTTTGGTTCATCGTCTGGGTTCCGACCCAGTGGTTACCAAAGTTTCGGTGAAATGTAGTGCCTCTGTCTTCAGGGCAGAATATAGAGTCAGTATCCTAGAAAAGCGACGGGAAATTTTACTCGCAGTTCTGGAGTTATTTACAGGAGACGCGCGAACAGAGTCCTGCTGGCAAGCTCATATCCTGCCACAGGAATAGCGGCTCCCCTCTGAAGTGATAAAAACTAAACTCGTCTGTCGTGGGCGCTGCCTTGCCACGAAGCGACTAATGAACTGCTCACAGAAGAAGCCCCCTCTCTGTTCCAGGTGTTGGTACCTTCCTTGGTCATCATTATATTCATGAACGTGTATATTTTCCCGTCATCCTTGACGGGCAATTTACTAGCGAAGATGGAATTTAATCGGCGTATCTTGCACTCGCACGTGTAGTG